TCTACCCCCAGGAAGCAGCCACTGGAGGTCTTCAGAAAAGAGCCAGGAGTCGTGATGATGGCACGTGCCAGCAATCCAGGCGTTCCCAGGTTTCCGACTGTCCCGCACGGGCTCCAGAAACGAGGGTTGGTATCAATCAAGGGAGGAAAGACCACCCAGACCTGAGAATTAGCGTTTACCAAACGGCCCTGGGCGTTTACTACAAGCCCTGCCCTGTTCGATTCCTTTTTTGGGATGCGTTTACTAAGCGGTCTCGCTTGTCGGGGTGGTTATTACGAGTGTGGATTTTTGCCTTCTAATCAAAAGGGAGGAAAGACCACCCGGGCCCGCTACATCACTCTCCTCCTAGATCTGACCAGCTGCGCGGCCTTGGCGGAGCTTGTGCCTCTTCCGCTCGGCTCGCCTGCGAAGGCCTGACTCAGACACCCCGCCTCGGAGTCGACCCGCGGCTGTGCCCCGCGGCGCGCGCTGACTGCAATGTCAGCGCGAACCCGTCCGTGGCGAGGGCCCTTCAGGATGCCCTCTTCCCAAAAAGATGAGACTCTGACGCTCCAGGCCTCGGAACAAAAATAGGAAGCACTCGTGCCACATTCATCGGTCCACGCCTCCCCCCTCCCCCCAGTGTTCAGCGTTGGTGGTGGGTCTGACGGGTTGCGCCTCGACCGCAGTCTCCCCCGCGCGCGCCAGCTTTGAGTTTTGGGGAGGAGGGGGAGTGCTCAGTCGTTCTTTCCTTCTTGCCGTCTGTCTCTTTGTGGGCCCCGGAAACGGCAGGGCCGTTTTTTCACCGTTTCCCCCAAAAATGTCCCTTGAAAATGGAAACGGCAAAAAAACGGCGACCGGAAACGGCAAAAAAAAACGGCTCCAGGATTGGAACCGGAGCCGGAACCGGTCAAAAAACGGCGACGGAACCGGTAAAAAAACGGCGTCGGAACCGGAAAAAAAAACAGCAAAACGGAACCGGTAAAGAAACGGCCCTGTCGTTTCCAGGGCCCACTAAGGTCTGTCTCCTCCGCTTCGCTCCGCACTCCCGCCCGTGCCGGCGCGCTCGATCCACGGCTGCCCTGCGGGCACAGGGCGCGCCTCGCTCCGGGCGTCGGCATCATCTGAGCTCGGGCCCCGAGGCCAGCTGCAGCGCCAGACACGACGAGGCTCAGGAGGGGGAAAAACAGACAGGCACAATGGATCGTCGACTCCCAGGAAAATGTGGGGAACTACGGGAGGGGGGGGGGGAAGACAAGAAAGAGCCAGAAAGTATAGATGAAAATCTAGGGCATATCTCTAGATGTGTGTGTATTTCTTTGTGTGTCTCCTGCAGGCCCCTTCGATCATCGGAACTCCGGTCGGCCGATGCCGGCCGCAGCGCCAGCCGCGACGAGGCCAGGGCGCCCACCGGGCGGGGTAGGGGGGGCCGGGCGGAGCGGGGCGCCGCCCCCGGGCGGGGGGAAGAGAGCACGGAGAGAGAGAGGCCGGCGGAGGCTCTGCCTCCTCCTCCGCCTGCTCGTACGCGCCGGTCGCTGAAAGTAGGTACAGTCAGAAGGGGAAAAAACACACAGACACAATTAATCGTCGATTCCCAAGAAAATATTGGAAAATATGGGAATTGGGCGGGAAGACAAAAACCCAGAAAATATGGGGAAATATGGGGCATATTTTTATTTGTGTGTCCCAGGGCCCCTTCATACAGTCGGGGCCCTGAAGAAGGAACCCTTTTCGTTGGGGAGGGGCTCCGTGTTCCTTGAGTGGTTCACAGATTGCCTCAGGTTCTCCTTCTGTTTTCGATCGGGAATCGAAGTTTGACTTATATTGGAAAAAAGAGGCCTCGTTGCTTATTTAGGGTTCCTTAGGTCAACGCCCCGACTGTATTTTTGGATTTCCAGATCCCAACCTGTTTCAAGCGCCTTCCTGTGTTTTGCTGTGCTTTTGTTACTCCCTGGGGGGCCCTGGGCCAAAGCAACTGAATCCGCCTTCCTACCTCATGTTTTTACCTGCTTCTTCCGACCGACGTGTAAGTCGGGCACGTCCCTCTATAGGAGGAATATTCCAAAATAGTTAAAAAATAGTCTTGGGGCGCTTTTATTCGTTCTGAGTATGTCTTGAGGATTTTTTATTGTTCGTCCAAGATCCACCTGTAGGAGGACATGCCCGATTTAAGCCTACTCCACCCCCCAGGAAATCCCGCCTCGGGGCGCGTCCTGGTCTTTGGCTGCCGAGGCGATCTTCCCGCTGTGGCCGCGAGGGCAGCCCAGAAGGCAAAGAGCGAGAGCCAAGAGTGGTCAAACCCTCGAGCTCCCCTTCCCCTCCCCCCATTTCCCAGGCAGCCGACGCACTGTTCCCAAGCCATCCTGTGATGTCTGGTCCCCGCTTTGACGAGACGGCGCCCCGCGTCCAGTTCCTCGCCTCTTCCCCCTCCTCCCTCCTTCTGTGCTGCCCTCCGCATGCCTCTGCCCTCCGCATGTCTCTGTTTCAGCACGCCCCTCACACGATTCGTGGGCCCATTGGGAGTTCCACCGAGGCCCCCAGTGGCTGCGCTCGCATGGCATCACGGCGCAAGTTTTGGCACACCTCTGCCGCGCTTTGTGGCCCCACACAGGGGGCTCCACCCAAGACCCCAGGGTCCGCATGTCCGATCCCGTGCCGCGGACGACCCGCACGCATCGCTGGAACTTGTTCTGGGCGACGCGCGCGCGCCGCGGGGATGCCTCTTTGCTCCGTCTCTTTTCGGGCGACTGGCTTGCATCTTTCAGGAGGGGAAGCACACAGACACAATCAATCATCGATTCCCATGAACATGGGATAATATGGGGTGTCCTGGGATTTGTTTGCATTTGCTTCTGTGTCCCTGGGCCCCTTCAGTCTTGCGGGCGCCTAAGAGGAAGGACTTCCCGAGTGCCCGATCGCTCGCTGCCCCTGCCTCCGCGTGGCCTCAATGCGTCCCCTCGTCCTGTGCGTCCGCCCCCCAGTCCTTCTGCTGTTCCCCCCCCTGCTTCCCACCTGCCTCGCGGCAGTCGCAGCTGCATGTGGGGCGTTCCAAACAGGGCCTTGGCTTCGAGGATCGAGGGGATTGTCTTCTCTGCCGCGGCGGAAGGGCGGCGGAAGGTCGCCGCAAGTAAATCGAGGCCGCTTCCTTCCGCTGGCGGAGGCTGGCGGAAGGCGGCGGAAGCTCGGCGGAAGGCGGCGGAAATAACAGGTGCGCACCCAAGTGATGAACACAATTTTGGGCTCAGGGTTTCCGAAATCGCCCATACGGTTGGGTCCTTCGACTGGGTATTATTCCCCAGCCATCCTGTGGTGATGGGCCCTGGTTTGAAAAGACATCGCCCCGCGCTCCTCATTAACTCCTCCTTCGTATTCTCCCCTCTCCCTCCCTTTCTCCTTGACTTTGCCCTCCGCATGTAAAACATGCCAGCGCACCACTCGCACGCATCGTGGCCCCATAGGGAGCTCCACCGAGGGCCCCAGCTGCTGCGTTCGCATGGCGCCAACGCGCCCATTTCGGCACATACACCTCACACGTTTCGTAACATCATATGGGGCTCCACCCCGGGCCACAGCGGCTGCGTTCGCATGGCGCCACCGCGGCCATTCGGCGCACCCCTCACATGCTTCGTTGCCCCATGAGGAGCTCCTCGGAGGGCCCCAGTGGCTGTGTTCGCAAGGCTCCATCGCACCCATTTCGGCACCCCTCACACGCTTCGTGGCCCCATAGGGAGCTCCACCAGGGGCCCCAAGGGTTGCGTTAGCATGGCGCCACCGCGCCCGTTTCGGCACACCCCTCACACGCCTTCTGGCCCCATAGGGAGCTCCACCGACGGCCCTTCTGGCTGCGTTCGCATGGCACCACCGCGCCTATGCCGGCACACTCCTCACACGTTTCGTGGCCTCAAGAGGAGCCCCACCGAGAGCGCTACCCAGAACGCGCTACTGACAGATGCATCTGGTCGGGCCTTCCGCCAGGATACTCCTGCAATCCTTTACAAGGCCTGCATGTTCTGAGCGCGGTATCCTTCTCCCCCCACGCGCTCCCTACATCCCGCCTTCTCTGCTTCGGGCCTCGATTCGCCTCGAAGTGAAATATGTTTTGCACATTTAGCACATAAAACTTTAATAACACAAGTAATCCGTAAATAAAGAAGGCGTACACATACAAATAACTGACCGCCGGTCGAGCGCTGCTCGAGCCAGGGCGCCGCAGACCCACACCGCTGTTCTGGAGCCCGCGGGCCCCCCAGGGATGTCTCGCGCCCTTGCCCGGGAGCAGTTCTCCGTCCCTCCTCCTTTTTTGAGGGTCTCGGGGCACGAACACGGCCAGAGAAAATGGGGATTTAAGCCATCAAACCTTTGGAGGTCTGGGTGGGACGGTGGTCCCGGGGTCAATCATGGGCGTGGGGTGCGTTCTGGCCTGAACTTCGAGGCGCACCCAGCCGTGGCAACGCGGAGGCCCAGAGAAGGCCCGAAACGCTAGACATCCTCGATCCCCGAACCTGGATCCTCGAACCTCCAGCCTCCCTGGGATCAGACGTCGCAGAAGGTGTGGAGCAAAAATTGACGCCCAGATCTCAGGGCTCCCCCCCTTTCAGTAGGACCGGCGCTTCAGTGTGCCAGGGCACCCCTCTTCCGTAGTCGGGCCAGACCTGTCGACACTTGGCCTCACTCGAATCGGGCCTTCAGCGCCGCTGGCCCTGAACTTGGTCACGGCTCCTGTCCACAAGCATGATCACATGCAGCATTGCGCGCGAGTGCGCGTGCGTGTGCGTTTTTTTTTGTCTTCTTTTTTTTTTTTGTGTGTGTGTGTGTGTGTTTGTGTGTGTGTGTGTTGGGGGGGGTTGTGTCTGTGTGTGGTTGTGTGTGTGTGGTTGTGTGTGTGGTTGTGTATGTGGTTGTGTGTGTGCGTGTGTGTGTGTGTGTGTTGATGTGTGTGTGTGTGGTTCTGTGTGTGCTGCTGGGTGCAGCCCTCAACGCCCTCACCGCAGGCTGGCAATTCATGTGGCCGCTGCCCGGTCATGTTGTTGATCGCGACTGTAGTGTCACATCGCCGGCGGAGGAAACAGTCTGTGTACGTGTGTGTACGCGTGTGTGGTTGTGTGTACGTGTGTGTGTGTGTGTGTGTGGTTGTGTGTGTCTGTGTGTGTGAGAGAGAGCGCCCCCGCCACGCGACGTAAATCCTGGTTGGGGTGCCGCGCGTGTGCAGTCACGACTGCTTCCAGCCAAGCTTCACAGAGTCTCCCCTCCGACTTCGCATTTTCTGCGTGACGGTCCCGGGTCGTTTTTTGACGGTCCCGAGTCCCGCTGAGGGCCACGAGAGGCCGAGGACGATGAACAACCTCCGTCTCATGTCTTCCGAGGCGCCATACGTCTGGAGGCCTCGCGCGGCGCGCAATCTTTGTATCATCTAGTCCACCCCTGGCAGGCATGGAGCGACGCTCGCGCGGTCGATGTTCCGACGTACGTCCGACGTGAAAGCCGACGCTATCCCGGAGGCAACCCGACGCACTTCCGACGCCGACCCGACGCGCAGCCGACGTGGCTGCCGCGTGAACCCGACGCGAACTCGACCGAGCTGCCGCAGGAGGCCTCCAGGATATTCCCTCCGAACTGGATGCCTGGGATGGCCTGGGACCCCCCCGGCGCCCGCCGCGCGCAGGAGCGACGGCGACGCCTCGGAGTCGAGCAGCCCGGGCTGCCTGGGCAGCGGCTCCTCCGGGCGCAGGAACAAGGCCGGGCGGGGGCTGCCTCCGGCGACGCCGGCGTCCCCTTAGGTCGGGCGTGTCCCCCTACAAGCGGATGTTCGACGACAAGTTAAAGGTAGTCAAAGAAATGCCCCAGAACGATAAAGAATCGTAGAGCAATCGTCCGCATATTTTTTTTTAAGCTATTTTTGAATATTCCTCCTGTAGAGGGGCACGCCCGACTTCAGCGTCCCCCCCCCCCTCCCCTGGTTGTTGGAGTCGCGACCGACGAGATCGGTCGCTAGCCCCGTGCCCCGGATACGAAAGCATCCCCGCCCCCTTTGAAATCGGGACCGGTCGAAAGGGGTACGGAGAGAACGGGCACGATGCCCAACAGCAGGTCTTGCTCATTCTGAACAAGGCTCGCTGTCCGCGCCGCCCCGGACGTTGTAGACATCAAGCAGCGTGCCCAACAGCGGCCGCTGTCGGTTTTGGACAACATGTGTTGTTGGGCGTTGTGCTCATTTTTTGCCATACCCACCTCGGGCGTCCAAGTCAAACCCCCTGAGAGTTGATTATCCCGGGCCAAGACAGAGTTGGCCGAGGTGAAGGGGGCGGCAAGGCCGAACTTCATTTTTTCGTCATGGAGAGTACGAATCGGAGTTGCTATCCTCTTATGTTGTATAGCAACGCTATCGCGAACGTGTGGCAGGGTTTTCGCATTCTCACCATTTCAGCTTTCCTGACGAACGTGTGGCAGGGCTTGGGGATTCTCACCGTCGCAGCTTTCCAAACTCACGAACGTTTGGCAGGGCCATGGGATTCTCAGCATTTCAGCTTTCCCAGGTCACGAACGCGTGGCAGGCCCATGGGACTCTAACCAGTTCAGCCTTCCCGAGTCAGAACGTGCGGCAGAGCTATCGGGAGGCCCCTTCCGGGAAGAGGGAGGCCCCTCCAGGCCCCCCCCCACCCCCAGAGCGAGCACGGTATCGCTATACCCTGCTATTTCTAAGGTTTCGCGCCTCTCCGACCCCTCCAGGGTGGCCCCGCCAGAGCGAGGAGGGCATGGCGTTACAATACTATTTCTTTAGGTTTCGTGCTCCTCCGACCCCTCCAAGGAGGCCCAGCCAGAGCGAGCAGGATATCGCTACACCATACTAATATACCTATACGACCACCCTTCGGGTGATAAGGAGGTTCGGGGGGGGGAGGAACCAACGTCTCACTCGATAGGTCTCACTATCGATCTCACTATCGATCTCAGTATCGGTCTTGCTCGATCGATCTCCCTCGATCGATCTCACAATCGATCTCACAATCGATCTCACTCGATCTATCTCACACACGATCTCACTCGATCATCATCATCATCATCATCATCATCATCATCATCATCATCATCATCATCATCATCATCATCATCATCATCAGCATCATCATCATCATCATCATCATCATCATCATCATCATCATCATCATCATCAGCATCATCATCATCATCATCATCATCATCATCAGCAGCATCATCATCATCACCATCACCATCATCATCATCATCATCATCATCATCATCATCATCATCATCATCATCATCATCATCATCATCATCATCATCATCATCATCATCATCAATCATCATCATCATCATCCATCATCATCATCATCATCATCATCGCGCGGACACCGCGGGACACCGCGGGACACCGCGGGACACCGCGGGACACCGGCGGGACACCGCGGGCCACCGGCCGCCCGGAAGGGAGACATTTGGTCCGGCCGCGCCTCAGCCACACGGGACACCGCGGGACACCGGCGGGACACCGCGCGCCACCGGCCGCCCGGCGGAGAATCATTTGGTCCGGCCGCGCCTCAGCCACAGGAGACTTTCCTCTCGCCCGCCCACGCAGCTTCGCCTCGCCCGCACGCACGGCACGCACGAACACGAAACCGAAATCGATTTCCCGGTAGGGGGGCTCTCCGTTCCACTTCGATCTCACCCCCTCACCTCCGATCATCGTACAAAGAGTACCCGGGAGCAAATTTTTGATCCCCCCGAATCCCTAAATTGATCATCGCCACCCAGTGATTATCAGGGGCATAGCGGGTAAGTTTTCAGCTGTTCGAGAGATGTAGCCAGGAGCAGTGCACACCTTGTTCGATCGCGTCCCAACCAAACAGTCAATCGGGGGCATAGACTTACCGATGCTGCTCACAACTTGTGGGATCGGTCGCGACCGATCTTCTTGGAATCGGTCGCGATCGGCTTGGAGTGCCGATCGGCCGCTACCGATCGCGACCGACAAAATCCGGAAGCCAAGAGACCCGAACCAGGGTGGCCCCTCACTGGCATCATCACCATCATTACCACAATCATCCGTCATCACCATCAGCATCATCATCATCATCATCATCATCATCATCATCATCATCATCATCATCATCATCATCATCATCATCATCATGAGCATCAGCATCAGCATCAGCATCAGCATCATCATCATCATCATCATCATCAGCATCAGCATCAGCATCAGCATCAGCATCAGCATCATCATCATCATCATCATCATCATCATCATCATCATCATCATCATCATCATCATCATCATCCTCATCCTCATCCTCAACCTTATCCAGCCCCCCCCCAAGGGGGGGGCACCGGCGGACCCAGAACCCCCTCGCGTCGCGAGCAAGATCACGGCGCGACATGTCTTTGGCGAGCTTCGGCTTCTCGTGGCCCTCGTCGGCTACGCGCGGGGGTGGGCAGGGGGAGGGGGGGACGCCTCTTAGAGGCACCCCTGCTTCTCAGAGGGCGCGGGCCCTGTCTGTAGACGTGCACAGCCGTGGCAACAGTTTCTCAAATCGGCGATGGCGAAGATATCTCCCACCCCCTTCACTATCCCCAACAGCACGATCATGGCGGCATTCGGCGGAGCAGTTTCCGACCCGCCCGATGATCCTGACTCCGCTACCCCAGAGCCGGATCGGAAGCTGCTCCGCGCCACACCCTACAAATGACTAAGTTTCGAGCAGGATGCGCCCCTGCGCGGAGCAGTTGGGAGTACTGTACTCGTTTACTCTGGACAGGAGGAGGAGGAGGAGGAGGAGGAGGAGGAGGAGGAGGAGGAGGAGGAGGAGGAGGAGGGAGGAGGAGGAGGGGAGGGGGAGGAGGGGAGGAGGAGGAGGAGGGAGGAGGAGGAGGAGGAGGAGGAGGGAGGAGGAGGAGGAGGAGGGAGGAGACGCTCCGCCCTGCTGCGCTACTGGCGGAGGCAGCTTGAAGGCAACCCTCCGTCACGGTTGTGCAAGGGCCGCGCCCTCCAAGAGGTGGCCTCCTTCTGAGAGGCCTTCCACCCTCCCCCTACCCCCTTGCGCGCGCCGCCGCCAACCTTCCCCCCCTCCCCCTCCCCCCTCCCCCTTGCCCCCTTCCCCTTCCCCCTCCCCCTCCCCTCCCCCTTCCCCTCCCCCCCCCTTCCCTCCCCCCCTCCCCCTCCCCCTCCCCTCCCCCTGATGGCGTCCGGGTGATGGCCGCGCACCCTCCGCGTATTGTTTTTTTACACACAGGATCCCGGGAAATCCCGGGAAACGACTCTCGCTGAGGCGCCGGCGTCATTTTTTCCCAAAATGCTGCTCTCGTTGAGGCGCCGGCCTCATTTCTGCTCCCGAATCGTTCCGAATCGTGCTCCCGCTGCAGCGTGGGCCTCATTTTCGGATCGGTGTTTGGCCTCCGTCGTTCAGGATGGCGTTCTCGCCCCAGCGCGGGCCTTTTTCTCGCGCGCCCATCCGCCCGCCACCACCGCGCCGCACCGCCACCACCACCACCACCACCACCACCACCACCACCCACCACCACAACCACCACCAGCACCACCACCACCACCACCACCACCACCACCACCACCACCACCACCACCACCACCACCACCACCACCACCACCACCACCACCCACCACCACCACCACCACCACCACCACCACCACGACCACACACGCACGCACGCACGCACGCACGCACGCGCACCACCACCCACTACGCACGCGCGCGCGGAGCCACAGGTCCGCTACGACACGCGTCCGCGGATAGAGAAAATCAGCGCCATGGTAAGGGATGGGAGGGAGGGGTAGGACGTCAGATATGACGCGAGCGCACCTAGCTTGCCCTCCCCCCTCCCCCCCTTCCCCCCCCCCCCCCCCCCCCCCTTGCCCCCTCCCCCTCCCCCCCCTCCCCTTCCCCTCCCTCCCCTCCCCCTCCCCCTCCCCCTTGCCCCCCTATACCCCCTTTCGCCACCTCGCCAGGCCCCGGGACCGTCTCACACGACTCGGGATGAGAACTCGCTCCCCCGGAAAGGGGCCCCGACGTGGATGCCACATTACGACGTCGGAGGTCCAGACATACCCCAGACCACAGACCCCCTTCGAGCAACGAACACATCACTGCGGCAGGTTTCTCGCCACTTTCGGCCTCTGGGGGCCCTTTCCAGGCCTCGGGACCGTCAACAAAACGAGTCGGGATGAAAAACCGATCCCGGGGAATAGGTCGAACTTTTTGGGGGGTCGGCGTCATGAAACAATCATGACGTCGGGGGTCTGTGCACGATGAAATCTGGGTAGGCGTCAGACGTCGACCCCCAGACCTGGTCCCGGGGTGCGTTCCGGCACGCTTGTCGAGCTGCGCCCAGCTGGCTGCCGCTTCCGCAGAGGGCGTGGGCTGAGGATGAGGATCGGGGAACGAGGAATGACCGAAACATAAAAACTCGGAGGTCCGCGCGGACCTCCGAGTCGTTATGTTGTATGTTTATGTCATTCTTCGTTCCCTTCGAGGAGGCAGTTAAACGTGTATGAGCAAGGAGTGAAGGTGGGTTCGACGTTCGCGGGGTAGGCGCCAGGGTTTATGGCGGGAAGTGGGGCGTGATTTGTCGTTTCCAGCGGGCTCGTAGTCTCTTCACCCCCTAGATCCACCACGCCTGAATGTGTGCTACCCCCTCTCGCGATCATCTTAGGCTTCGTGTCTCCCCTCTGTCGCTGTTGCACCAACCTCGCCCAGTGATCTGCAGCCATGCATGCCATCACTTTGTATTGTGATCTCAGGGGAAAGATCGGGATGACGAGAGCATTAGGTTTCGCTGCGGGTTCAGGGGCAGCAGCTGACCTAAATGTTGTGCCTCCTCGTAGGTGTTTGTTGCACTTCCTGCTTTGAGTGCCTTCTTCTGTCTCCGCGGGAGGAGCAAGTTCAGTGGACACCGAAGTCTCGGTGGAAGATGTCGCTGGGGAAGAAGGAAATCAGGACTTCGCGTAGTCCTTGCTCTTCTGCCGCCTGCACTGCGGCGAGCACATGTGACAGAAGAGTATAGAAAAGCAGTGCATTCATGCAGGCTCTGCCCAGAAACCGAATACTGCAACATTGAGTCGTGGGAAGGACACGTGTGAAAGGGCTACGCGACGAACACCTGTAGCCAGTTCATGTTTTGCAGTGCCTTGACTGACTGCGTGATTGTCACGCCTCTGTCTCGAGGGCTGGGCCCTGGGTTGTGAGGGTGGAGCGCGGGCAGTTTCTCCACTGCCTTTCCTCCTTCCTCCCGCCTTCCCCTGTCTTCGCCCGCTTCCTCCCCGCTCCTTCGCGTCTCATGCCTCCCCCCCCCTATCAGCATGCCATCGTCTCTTCTCTGTGCCATCATCTCTTGCGCCTCTGGGGCCCAGCAGGGTAGCGTCACATGCTGACCAAGACTACTGTCTGCCTTTGGGAGCCGTTCTCCCCGGGGGCTGCCCAAACTGCGCACCAGTCGCTTCTCTCCTGCGCCCTTGGGGGCTCTGGTTGAGTAGCGTCTTGCGCGGACCAAGCTATATCACCTTCGCTCGCATGTGCGCTGCCAGGGCTGGACCTGAACGGTGCTTTGGCCATCCCGTGGGCCGTTCTGGTCTTCGCTTCGCGCTGCGCTCACAAGGCGAAGCGACGGCAGCCCGAGGAGGCACGAAAGACAGCACGACGACGAACACCACCGCTCAGGTCCAGCCCTGGCCAAGCGCACCCTGGTCTCAACGCACCTGCGCTCCTGTGCTCTTTCAGGAGGGAAAGAAACACACAGACACAATTAATCGTCGACTTCCAGGATAATCTGTGAAAATATGGGAAGTGGGGGGGGGAAGATAAAAACACAGAAAATATGGGAAAATATGAGAAGATATGGAATGATGTTATTTGTGTGTATTTATTTGTGTGTCCTTGGGCCCCTTCACACGTGCCCCCCTTGGAGCCCAGCGGCCTGGCGCGTGTCGGGCGGCCCCGGCGCCCGCCTCTGCTCCAGCCCGCCCTCCGGGCTCCGAGGCCGCCGGGCGCCCCCTGGCATCGCTCCGACGCGTGCATTTTTTCTCGGCGAGGGCCATCGATGAGCATCCTGGATCATTTGGCGAAAAGACCACGCACGAAATCAACAAAAGGCACAGGGAATGGACGTCCGAGCGATGGCCAGACCCCGAGGAGATCCTCAGACACCGGAGCCCGAGCATCTTTTCGTCGGGCGGAGGGCAGAGGGTGAAGTCCGAGATGCCGTTTCGATGGATCTTCGAGGCCTGCATCTGCAGAAGCTGCACCACAGAACAAGCTGTTTTCGTTCGAGGCGCAGGCGCCCCTGTGGATTTCACCCTGTGAGCCCTCCGCCCTCGGAGAATACTCCAGGGGACGTCGCCGCTCCCTGGGCTTCCCTGACTCCGGATCCGCCCTACTTTGGGGAAATTCGTAAGTGGGGCTTGGAATTTCCGCCTCCTTTTTAAAGCCCCGCTGATGCCAATTTCCGCCCTACTTTTCTGTTGCTGTTTCTGTGGATTTCCGCCCTCTTTTATGTTGGGTGCAGCAATTTCCGCCCTACTTTTTCGGCCTCTTATAGGTGGATTTCCGACGCAATTTTAAGTTTGAAAAAAAGCCAAAGTAGGGCGGATCTGGAGTCAGGGTTGCCCCTGGTGCGTCAGAGCCTGTTTTTTGGGTGACTCTGGCAGGTTTGCTCGCATGGCCGGGGGGGGGGGCCTGAACCTGAAGCAAGCCGCAAGAAACGACTCGACGTGCGGAAGCCACGCGAGTAGGAAGGCACTGGCACGCTCGTGTTCGATTGAAGAGGGGCGAGGGGAGGGGGCGAACGCCATGCAAGTAAACCTGCCGGAATCTAAAGAAACAGGCTCTCAGCGCAGCGGGTTCCCGCCAGAGATCGGGCGCTCCAACAAGAAATGGAGCGGGCGGCGTTTGACCGTTCCCGGCCTCGGGGGGCCCTCGCAAAAAACTGCCCAGGCCGACAAACCGGCCCCAAGGAAGTGGTCCAGACCTCCAGGCCCACGCATCTAAAACATTGGAGCAGCCGGATGTATGGGCCACCGCAGCGGGTTTCCTGCATGCTTAGCTTCTGGAGGAAACCCTGGCGTGCTATCCAAGCTGGCGAGCCTGGCGGGTCGGTTGGAGGCGTCCTGGGTACATTCCTCGAGCTTCGACGGCACGGAAAAGTTGCGACATCGTGACGAATCACGACCAGAGCCCCGGACCCTATTTTTGTTGCGGCATCTTTCGAGCCAGCCCTCGGAGACGAACAACGATGCACTTTACCGCGTCGCAGCGGGGCCAGAATGGAGTCCATACATGGTACGGTATATATGGGCGCCGTGATTGTGCAAGTTCTCCTCATCGGGGGAGACGTGCGCGAGGGTTTGAGCACCTGCGGATCCGGGTGTGATGTACGAGCACCCCGCGGGGGCATTACATTTTGGATCTCGGATGACAACCTTCACATCCGCCCAGGATCCTGAACCCTGGGAGGCTCCCCGAACTTCCCATCACCACCGGGCCAAGCATCCAGAAGGTCGCGTGGGCAGAAGAGCCCGTGATTTGCAATTTTTACGGAACTACAAAGAGAGCGACGGAACACCGAACGCTTCAATGATTGCGACGTAGAACATGGAGCGCCCGATTGTGAAGCAGAATGCGGGTTGTGAGATGGGAGGAAGGGGATGAGGGCGACGAGGATGAGGGGAGTTTGATAATAGTTGCAAGAGGAGCTCATACACCGATGTGGCCCATCGCTGCCGCGGCCTCCCCCGCTTCCTGCGAGAGGCCCGTGTTTCCCCCGAACTGCCCACCACGTACACAACTCTTTGATCGTCGATCGTGGAGGCTTCGGCAATTCTGGAGTGTGCGGGCCCTCCCACTGGGACAGTGTTGAGGCTGGGGCGGCATTGGCCAGCGCGCCGCTGATCGAAACATGATGGCCCGACACCGCAGGAGGGGAGGGCTAGCCGACTGGTTTTGAAAGTAAGTTGCCAACGGGAAAGACAGGATGACTGGCAGGTTCGTGAAAATGGACGCACATCAGCTGGACACAATGACACGGGAGGATCTCGTAGTGCTTGCTGGTCTGTGCCTCGTCGACCAGTCGTGCGCGCCAGGATATCGCAGTCACATGGCGGCCGAGTTGGCCTGCGAAACATGGGCAACAGTTGCTTCATGAACGCTGGCCTCCAGGATGGCTGCTTTCGTCTGGCTGTTAACGACGACCCCTGGCTGCACCATGAGATTAGTGCGGCGAGGAGGAGGATTATGAGGAGTAGGAGGAGGGGGAACGCTTGTTAGAAGAGGAGTACGGGAAGGAGCAGGAGGAGGGGAGGAGGACCATGAGGTAGGAACAGAGGAGAGGTTAGGAGCAGGCGTGGGAGCCAGTGTCGATGTAGCCAGGCCGAACGAGCCAGTGGGCCTCGCTTACTCCCGTCCTCAGATGGTGCACGAACGAAGGCTGGTGCAGCTTGATGTTTGGGCTGGCGCGCTGTCCTGCGTGGAGAGCGGCAGGCGCTCGCGCGCGGTCGCCTGCCCGATGAGTTTGGCGAGGGGAAGGCGCACAAGGGCGCGCACGGGCGGTAACGGAACTTCCAGAGCATCGTCGTGCGGCGCTGGGGCGAACTCGTCCTTCCGTCCGTTCCTGCTCGACCGCATCCCTGACGATAGTTGCCAAGGCCAAGACTCGGCGGCGAGCGAGGGGGCGGAAATAGGGGGCGGAAATGAGAAGGGGAAGGAAGGCCTTCTCAGAAGGCTCGGACGTCCCCCCCGGCCTCCCGAGAGGTTTTGTAAGCCTTCCCCGAAGACAGGACAACATGTCTCAGAAGGCGCGAGGGCTTCTCAGGAGCCCCGCCGCCTTCTGAGACGGCTTCCTCCCTCTCATCCCCCCCCCCTCGCTCGCCGCCGAGCGAAGGCAAGGCCAAGACGGGGCCGCGCCGGCACGGCCTGGCCACCCTCGCGCGCCGTCGGCGCGGCGCCCTTGGGGCGCGAAGGGCACGCTTCGCCCGCTCTCTCGCGCGGCCCCGCTGCCGCCCTCTGGCGGGCCCGCCGCTCTCACGCGACAGCTGCACAGAGCTTCTGGGCGAGGAGGAGGAGGAGGAGGAGGAGGAGGAGGAGGAGGAGGAGGCGAGGGCGACACTCAGGAGCGGAAAAAAGACACACACACACAGACACAGTGAGCCATCGCCTCCCAGGAGAGGATGGGAGAATATGGGAAGTGACGGGGGGGAAGGCGAAAGCCCAGAAAGCATAGGAAAATGTTGGGAATCTTGGGATTTGTGTGTATCTATATATATATATATATATACATTATATATATATATATATATATATATATATGTGTGTGTGTGTGCGCGTGTGTGTGTGTGTGTGCATGCGTGTGTGTGTGTGTGCATGCGTGTGCGTGTGCGTGTGTGTGTGTGTGTGTGTGTCCCTGGGCCCCTTCAGACAAGCCGCCCGCTCGCGCGCGGTCCCGCTCCCAGCGGCTGGGCGAGTGAGCAGCACGGGCCGCGCCCACGCCGCAGGGCCGCTTGGGGGCGCGACATCCGGGCGGGGCTTCGGCGAGGGCCAGGTGTCGCCGCTCGCCCGCGGCCCCCGCGGTCGTCGACGCGGCGAGCGACGAGTGTGCACCTCGCCAGCGCGGGCGTTCCATCTGCAGCACGCGTCAGCGCGGTGCCGAGGCGGGGGCGGCATTTCCCCCCCTTGCGCGCGCGAGGCGAGTCCCTTCCCGCTCGCGCTGCGCATTTTGCGAAAGCGCAGCCTTCGCCTCGTTTTGTAATGCGCACGCTGGAAGGACCCGTGTTCGAGCGCCATCGGTTGGCCAGGTGGCATGAGTAGGAACCCATAGTAATACGGTAAGGGTAATACTCGGGGAAACGGAAGACTCGAGTAAGCCGGAACTCAGGTTTGCCGACGTTTTTTGCCGAGCGCGTCCTGGATTTTGACGGTCCAGTTTTCTTGGGAAGTATGCAGCGGGAGCTCGCGTCAAATTTTAGATTGGGTCTCGTCATTTTTATGATGTCCCCGTCATGCCAATCCGAGTCCCCCATACCCGAGTCTGACGTCTTCCCGCTCGAGCGATCCATGGGGCCGTTCACTTCATCCCTTCCCATTGGGGAAGTTTCAGTGCCGTCCTGGGGCATCATCCTCGAGATTCGATTGTACACCTCAGCATTTTACCCACTCCCAGCGTCGACGAGACCCGAGCATGTCCGCTCTGGCGTTCCCCTCACGGCAACTTCCCGCCTTGATTCGGCTCAGCATGTTCCCTTCCGCAGAATTTCTCGCGCGTGACGTGCCCCATGCTGCACTGCTGCCGCGCGGATGTCCCCATAAAAGGAGATGTGTCCCGAAGGAGTCGACTGTCGACGTGAGGAAAGCGACGTCGACTGCTTCGTTTCGAACGGTTGTTGGCGTTTCTCAAGGTTTTCGTCGCCACGGCTGGACTCAACTCGAAAAGCATGTCGCGACGGACTCTTTGAAGGGTCAAGATATCTTTTGTAGTGGATTGTGAAATTAAATGAAGGAAGAGTGCTTTGATAGAAAGGGGTCTTGAAGTCTTTTCGCCATTGTCGGCTTCTCCAGGCGCTTCCAGGGTCCTGGATCTGTCGAGAACGACTCAAGATGAAAAGCTGGTGCCGGGGAACGCCGCGGGGTTTCCGCCAAAGGTATGATGATTGAATGCGCAAGCAGGGAGCACAGGATGGCGGTCGTCCATTTCTGTGCGGCGTAAATTCCCACGCGAGCTGAACGTGAGGCTAGCTTTGTACGAAGCAGGTTTTGGAATATTGGGCCCGCTGCGTAGCGTCGGACTGCCGTGCCGCGCGAACTCCCACGCGACAGGAACAAGAGCTTTTTGTTGCTGTGTTATCTTTCACGGAGGCACCACTGGCCAGCTTTCCCGACAGATCGATACGTCAGCCCGTGCGCGACAGAACACTGTGTGTGACGCGCTTGCAGCATTGCTGGAGTGGGAGGAGCATCATGTCAATTGCACCCCAGATCCGAAGCTCATTTTGGTGTGCGCCAGCGCGATGTGATCACGACGTCCAACGTGCAAAGGAGTTCACAGTGGAAATCGGTTGTGTACGTTTCATTGCGGGGGGAACGCGAAGTTGACCGTGGATGTCTTTTCAATTGTGATGTGCCCTGCACCGTGCGTTTGCCGCGCAGCACTTTGTGCTTGTGTGCGCTTTCGAAGTGTCCCCTAGTGAAGTGACAACGGCCGGGAAGACAAGCCAAGTGAGGATGTCCACCCGCTTTGTGTCGTTACAGGGGCGGGCGGGCCCTTTGCCGGGGGCCGGGCAGTACCAAGGGGGGCTACAGTGGGGGCCCATGCCAAGGAACACCCTGCTTGCCTCCAGGGTGCCCTTGGTTTCCTGGGTCTCGGTGGCTGTGCTGTGGAAGGCGCGACCGTTCCGACACCGAAAAGCAACGGACGCCCTCGTGTCTCAGGGTTGGGTTTTTTGTGGAACTCTCCTTTAGGAGAACGAACAATGACATAAACATACAAGTTCAGAGGTCCGCGCGGATTTCTCGGGTCGGCGCTTGACCCAGAGCGCGCAAAGGGCGGCGCCGGAGGCGCCGCCAGGGGGGCCCAGCGCGGATTCGAAAAATCCGCGCGGACCTTCGAGTTTGTATGTCTGGCCATGAAGCAATCACGACGGTAGGTTGCCGAAACCTCTAGGGGTCGACGTCATGAAAAAACATGACATCGGGGGTCTGGGTTCCGCGTGGAAGCAGCTACCTCCCTCGTGGTGACCCCTGGCGGGGGCAATGCCAAGGGGGTCATTACTAGGGGGGATCCTGGAGGAAATTGTTTTTCCGCGAGGAAGCGGCTACCTTCCCAGTGGTGACCACTGGCGGGGGCAATGCCAAGGGGGTCACTGCTAAGGGGGATCCTGGAGGAAATTGCTTGTCCGCGAGGAAGCGGCTACCTCCCCAGTGGTGACCCCTGGCGGGGGCAATGCCACGGGGGTCATTACTAGGGAGGATCCGATGCCAAGGGGGTCATTGCTAGGGGGGATCCCTCTTTTCTCGCGGAGAAAGCCCATTTTTGCCAGTGGGCCCCCAAGAGCACTCCAGAGCTTTCTGCAGTTCTGAAGCGACACCGAGCGACCAAAGACCTCCTGGAGCTTCAGCCTCGACTTCCAGGAGGAGGCGGCGGCCGCCCTGGTGTAGGGGAACAGACAGTGCCGTAAACATAATTACCCTGTGACGTACCCAACCCATTTGTATCAATGGAAACGAGGAGTTGGCCGAAACTTGTATGGACAATCAACTTGATGTGTAAGCTACTTGGGAGGCGTCACTGTGCTGGCCCCAGCAAGCAGGCCTCGAAAGTGGCGACAGTTTCACAGATCGCAGCCCCCCAGGGATGGCGAGGTCTAATTTGAATCTGCGTGTGGCGTCACTGTGCTGGGCCCCGCAAGCAGGCCTCGAAAGTGGCGACAGTTTCACAGATCGCAGCCCCCCAGGGATGGCGAGGTCTAATTTGAATCTGCGTGTGGGTACCCACTGTGCTGGGCCCCGCAAGCAGGCCTCGAAAGTGGCGACAGTTTCACAGATCGCAGCCCCCCAGGGATGGCGAGAGCTAATTTTGAATCTGCGGTGGGTACCCACTGTGCTGGGCCCCGCAAGCAGGCCTCGATAGTGGCGGCAGTTTCACAGATCGCAGCCCCCCAGGGCTGGCGAGGTTTAATTTGAATTTGCGGTGGGTACCCACTGTGCTGGGCCCCCCAAGCAGGCCTCGAAAGTGGCGACAGTTTTACAGATCGCAGCCCCCCAGGGATGGCGAGGTCAAATTTGAATTTGCGGTGGGTACCCACTGTGCTGGGCCCTCCAGCAGGCCTCGAAAGTGGCGACAGTTTCACAGATCGCAGCCCCCCAGGGATGGCGAGGTCTAATTTGAATCTGCGGTGGGTACCCACTGTGTTGGGCCCCTCAGCAGGCCCTCGAAAGTGGCGACAGTTTCACAGATCGCAGCCCCCCAGGGATGGCGAGGTCTAATTTGAATCCGCCGTGGTACCCACTGTGTGGGCCCCCCAGCAGCCCTCGAAAGTGGCGACAGTTTTACAGATCGCAGCCCCCCAGGGATGGCGAGGTCTAATTTGACTCCGTGGTGGGTACCACTGTGCTGGGCCCCCCAGCAGGCCTCGAAAGTGGCGACAGTTTCACAGATCGCAGCCCCCCAGGGATGGCGAGGTCTAATTTGACTCCGCGGTGAGTGCCCACTGTGCTGGGCCCCCCAGCATGTTTCGAAAGTGGCGACAGTTTCACAGATCGCAGCCCCCCAGGGACGGCGAGGTCCCATTTGAGTCCGCCGTGGGTACCCACTGTGCTGGGCCCCCCAGCAGGCCTCGAAAGTGGCGACAGTTTCACAGATCGCAGCCCCCCAGGGATGGCGAGGTCCCATTTGAGTCCGCCGTGTGTACCCACTGTGCTGGGCCCCCCAGCAGGCCTCGAAAGTGGCGACAGTTTCACAGATCGCAGCCCCCCAGGGATGGCGAGGTCTAATTTGAATTTGCGGTGGGTACCCACTGTGCTGGGACCCCCAGCAGGCCTCGAAAGTGGCGATAGCTTCACAGATCGCAGCCCCCCAGGGATGGCGAGAGCTAATTTTGAATCTGCGGTGTGTACCCACTGTGCTGGGCCCCCCAGCAGGCCTCGAAAGTGGCGACAGTTTCACAGATCGCAGCCCCCCAGGGATGGCGAGGTCTAATTTGAGTCCGCCGTGGCCCACTGTGCTGGGCCCCCCAGCAGGCCTCGAAAGTGGCGACAGTTTCACAGATCGCAGCCCCCCAGGGATGGCGAGGTCCCATTTGAGTCCGCCGTGGTACCCACTGTGCTGGGCCCCCCAGCAGGCCTCGAAAGTGGCGACAGTTTCACAGATCGCAGCCCCCCAGGGATGGCGAGGTCTAATTTGAATCCGCCGTGTGTACCCACTGTGCTGGGCCCCCCAGCAGGCCTCGAAAGTGGCGACAGTTTCACAGATCGCAGCCCCCCAGGGATGGCGAGGTCTAATTTGGCGTACCGTGTGCTCCGTGGCCCACTGTGCTGGGCCCCCCAGCAGGCTTCGAAAGTGGCGACAGTTTTACAGATCGCAGCCCCCCAGGGATGGCGAGGTCCCATTTGAGTCCGCCTTGTGTAACCAGTGTGCTGGGCCCACCAGCAGGCCTCGAAAGTGGCGACAGTTTCACAGATCGCAGCCCCCCAGGGATGGCGAGGTCCCATTTGAGTCCGCCGTGTGTACCCACTGTGCTGGGCCCCCCAGCAGCCCTCGAAAGTGGCGACAGTTTCACAGATCGCAGCCCCCCAGCTGGCACGCAGCGACGAGCGAGGCAAAAGGCAAGGGGGAAGAGTGGGGCGGGAAGGAGGCAAGGCGACGCGCGAGCAGTGCTCTATTCAAAACGAGAACCCAACGCAGGAGGGTTGGGAAAAACTCGGAGGTCCGCGCGGATTCTTCGGATCGGCGCTGGACCCCACTCCCTGGCGCGCGGAGGCGGCGCCGGAGGCGCCGCCGGGGTCCGGGGTCCCCAGCGCCGAGACGAGGAATCCGCGCGGACCTCCGAGTTGTTACATTTATGTCATTGCTTGCTCCCCCATGGTGGAGACCCCCCCTTTGGCGGCGAAATCCCTGCTGCGCAAGTCCGCCACCGCGCTTTCGCGGTCACCTGGGAGATGGGGCGTCTGGAGGGTAGCGTGGTCAGGTAGTTTCCACGGGGGGTCTCTCAGGACGTCTGATTGTGTGACAACTTTGCAAAAGTGCAGGGGCTCGGTCAAACAAGCGGGCGCATGTTGAGCTCGACTCGTAACCGACAAAAACAGTGGCCCGACACACACCAACTACTACAAACACATTGACATGTCTTTCTGTTTCCCCGAGGGGACGGGTAGATCGGGAGAGCGATAGTTGTCTTGCGATTCGCAGGTCAGGGGCTGGTTGTCGCAGAAGGGACGTCGCGAGATGAAGCAGGACCACCCGCTACCAGCCAAGATTCATGTAGCTGTTGTCAGAGAGCAGTTGGGGGGTGCGCCGCAAGTGCCTGAGCCACATCGAGCCGATTATCGCGTATTTCCTCACTGGCAAGTACAAGGAGGAGTTCCTTGCCGCCTTTTTGCGCCTGGTGGTGACAGCCCGGAGATCTTCGAACCATAGGCAGGGAGAGAAAAATGCTTCATGCTGCAGCCTGCCGTCTCCACCATCCTGGCCTCCGCTATTTCCGCCCTCGGATCCATTACCTGCACGTGACCATGCCTGCACGCACCCCCTCACCTGCAGCCCCGCGCGCGTCCCCTCGCACCCCCCTGATCACTATCCGGCTCTGCTCGGGCGGGCGAGGACCAGGAGATGCGGTGGACACGCGGCACGGCGCGGGCGTTCAGGGTCGACCGCAGCCCGTGGCCTGGAGCCGGCTGACTTCGAACGATCCGCCACTATCAGAAAGCCGCGATCGTGCAAGGTTGAGAGACTTCTTGTGTCGAGCAGTGGCGAAGCGTCCCGGCTCGCCTATAGCCCCACCAAACAATGTTCTAAGAACCTCTCGTGGCTCCCACGAAATGTCCTTAGAACATTTCTGGCTGGGACTGCCTTGTTGTAACACGTCGGGTTCATGTTCTAAGAACCTTGTTTTTGTTCTTAGAACATTTTTGGGTTTCAAGAACATTTCGTGGTATGACTATAGGAACGCCGGGACGGTCGGTCCCTGCTCAACTGTGGCGGTGTCAGCAACTGGCGTACACGCCGTCACGGCAGGAGCCCGCCGTGCCCAAGGGGCCGTGCGCTCGCAGAGGGGCGCCCGCGCAGGAGGTCAACACGGGCAACCCCTTCGGCACGAAGGGGAGGCTGGTGGAGGCCTTCGCCAGGCTGCAGGAGGCCCTGTGGCAGGACCCGCGTCGCCCTCCCGCGGCCGCCGTGCCTCCCGCGAGGGCCGCCGCCGCCGATATGTGCCTCGCGGCTTGCTGTGCCTGCCGCGTTGTCTGGGGCTCGGCGGGAGTGCTGCCCGGCCAGTGTGCTCGCCTGCTGCGGGTTGTCGCTCTGTGCCTCTGTACAGTAGACACCCATGCCAAGAAACGCCCTGCTTGGCGCCCTAGGCTTCTTGGGTTCCGCTTGTGAAGCGACGGAGAGCGCGACGTTACCACCCCAAAAAATCAGAGGACGTCCTGGGGTCTCAGGGTCGGGTTTCTTGTGGAAGCCTTCTTGTGGACTAGACTCCACTGTACGGTGTTTACTGCTCTGGAGGAGGAGGAGGAGGAGGAGGAGGAGGAGGAGGAGGAGGAGGAGGAGGAGGTGTGGATCGGTGCCGATGTCGCTGCCCGCTCGTCCTTCGGCTTCGCCTCTCTGGGCCTCCTGACGGCCTTCGTCGCCGCGCCTAAGCTTCGCCTCGAAGGCCTGGTCAGAGCACCGCCTCCCCCGACTGACGCCTGCACCCCCCAGCCTCGGCGCGGCGACCCCTTGGACCTTGGAGCCCTGGCGGCGCGTGGCTTTCTTTCCCTTGCCCGCGCGCGCCTTGCCACGGGAAGAACCCTTGAACCCCTCGGATTCGAGTGCGCACTCGCACATCGTTAATGGAGGATGACGATTCATAAATGACCGGGGGTCGTGTTCACGCGGCGGCGCCCCCCGGGATGACGATTAGAAAAAACCGGCCGCATGCTGGAAAACTTGTTTAAACAAATCGTTCTCCTCCCAGTCAGAAAATAGTGCAGAAATAGCAGAAAACTATGTTTTTAATCTTTCTCTCCAATTTTTTATTAATCGTCATCCCGCATTAGTGCAATACGTCTAGAGTGCTGCTGCGTCACACTTGCAATCTGGGCCCTCGCGGTGGTCCTCTGCTGGCTGCGCCGGGGGGGGGGGAACCCCACGCGCGAGCACCGCCGCGGCGGAGAGTTCCCTTCCTCTTCCGAAGTTGGAGACGGGAGTATACAGTCGGGGCGCTGAAGAAGGAAGCCTTTTCGTTGGGCAGGGGCTCGGTGTTCCTTGATTGTTTCAAAGTTTGCCTCGGGTTTTCCTGAGGTTTTCCATGGGAAATCGAGGTTGAACCTATGGGAGAAAGGGGCCTCGTTCCTTATTTAGGGCTCCTTAGGTCAACGCCCTGACTGTAACCCCCGTGCTCGAATCCCTCGCCAGGGATGTCTCTTTTCTTGCGGAAGCCCGACCCACATGGGTTCTCCGGCGCGCGCCCCAGAAGTTCTTTTCTTCCGGATGGGCCCCCCTATGGGTCCTCTTCGGTAGCAAATCGTTGGAGCCCTGTGTACCTCGCAATTACTTCTTAGCGTCGATTAGCGTCGATTAGCGTCTGGGAGTCGATGAGATAGTGCCGACTTAGCGTCGGCCAGCGTCGATGAGTGTCGATTTAGCGTCGACTCGCGTCGATTAGTGTCGATGGGCGTCGATTCGCAAGAGCCGACAAGATGGTATGGGAGGCTCCCATGAGTTGCCTCCGAAGGTCCTATGCTCGAGTCGGCCAGGTGATGTCAGAGCGCGCCCCGGGAGCGAGGTCTGGGGAGCAAGCGGTGCATCCCAGCGGTGGCCCGCCCCCCCCCCCACCCCCCGGCCGTGCTCCCCGCTCTCTCTTCCCTGCCGCGGGTGCAGTCCAGGCGAGGACGCCAGGCGTCCTCGTTATTGGCTCCCTGTGCCCACAACCTGTCCTTGCCCCTTCTCTCACACACACACAGCCCACTCCGCGGGGGCGGCTTCGGTCTGCATGGCGGCGTCAGCGCAGCGCGCACCCCCGGCAACTACGCATGCCCTCTGGCGTCCTGTCGCGCGTCTCCGAGCCCCGAGCTCCGGGGCCCCCTGCCGCGCCCTCTCTTGCCCCGCCACCTGCCAGCGGCAGCCCCTCGCCCTCCCAGCCCACCGGCTGCGCCCTTGTCCGCCCGCGCTCTCCCTTCTTCCCGCGCCTGCTGGAGCCTGCTGGCGACCGCGCCTCGCTGTCCCGTCCCCGGCGGGCTCCTTCCAGAGTCTTCCTCCCCTTCCTCTGCCCTCTCCCGCTGCCTCCTCCCGCTCCGCCTCGCTCTTCTGGAGAGGGGCCAGCCAGGCCGGCGGCGGTCCCCCCGTCGCGCCCCAACTGCAACACATGGTTCCGACGGGCTCCCCAGGGGCGGTCATCACTCCTCCCAGCAGGCCTCCCATGCGCAGCCTTCCCCTGGAATCTCGGGTATGTCACCAGGGCCCCGGGAGAGACCGGTCAGTGCTTGGTCCCCGAAGCCAGGATATTTGCCAGCATCATTAGCTTTAAGTCGGGCATATCCTTCTACAGGAGGAATGTTCAAACATAGTTTTAAAACATAGCCTGGGGACGATGTGATATGTTTGACTGTATTGGCGTATTTTTTGTTGGTAAAAAACGTATTCTTCCAACATTCGCTTGTAGGAGGACGTGCCCGACCTAACACTAACTAAAGCAGGTCTGCCGTAGCTGGTGTTTTTGTTCGGGTGACGGCAGCTCCGCTTCGCGGAATGGGGCGGCGGGGGAGGCGCCCCAGAGCAGACATCCGTGAACCGGCGGGTCCAATTCGGCGGCGAGCAGCCGTCGAAGGAGGCGGCACCAGCCGCATTTTGGGGAGGGCGCCTCCCCCGATCCATGGATTTGGCGCCCGCCCGCCAACTCCATGGATCCCTAATCCATGCTTGCGCGCCCCCGACAAGGTTCGGAAGTCCCCCGGCCTTCTGAGAAGTTTTCTGAGCCTTCCCCGAAGACAGACGAACAACTTCCCAGAAGGCTCGATAGGGCTTCTAAGAAGTCCCGCCGCCTTCCGAGAAGGCCTTCCCTCATTCTCACTTCCCCCCCCTCGCTCGCCGTCGATCCACTGCACCCAGTCCCGCCACTGCCCGAGACTCGTTCGGACTCGGCTCCCACCCGGGCGCCTGGCTGCTTCAGATGTTCTCGAGGCGTGGGTCCCCGGAGGTCTGGGCCGCTTCCCTCTGAGTCCAGTGTTGCATCCCGAGTCGTGTGGCTGACGCCCCCGAGGCTTCGGCGAGGGCCCCCTATAGAGGCCGACCGCGGCGCAAAAAAGCCGCCCGCGCTCCCACTTCCTGGGGGCGCCGGCTCTTTTTCTGGGCAGGCTCTCCGCTTCGCCCTCCCGCGGGCAGGCACCCTGCCAGATGGCGGACTGCCCGCTGGGCCCCGCCGCGGGGTCTCAGGGCGCGCCCCTTCTCTCTCTAGGCCTCCCAGACGGGGTCCGGGTAGACGGGGTCGGAGGACCGCGACGCATCGCCGAGGCATCGGCGACGCATCGGCGATGCATCGGCGATGCGGCTCGATGCGGAGCCCGGTTTCCTCCACGCCGACGTCGCCGATGCACCGCCGACGTCGCCAGTGCATCGCCGATGCATCGGCGATGCGGCGCGATCCTCCGACCCCATCTGCTCCGACCCCATCTAGGGGGCATCTATTCTCGGCGGGCCCCTTCGGCGTCCGGCGCGGGCCAGGAGAACTCGAAGACGCAGTCGCCGAAGCAGCTCCACAGGGCCATGTCCGACTTCGCGCCCCACCTCTTCGAGGGCCGCGAGCAGCAGGAGCCGCCCCGTGGGGTGGCCGTCGCTGCGGATCCACAGATCTGGTGCTCCGACAAAGTCGGAGCCACCGGTTCTTGGCCATTCTCGGCCTCCGGGGGCCCTCGCGATTGACGTAGGCCTCTGCGGGGAGGGCAGGGGACTCACCCGCGCCTCGATGCGCCCGTGGTGCCCTGAGGCGCGCGGCTGTGCATAAGGCATGCAGTCGTTGTTCCTTTGCTGGGGTAGGCGTCCTTCTCGCTCGTCCTTGCTCTCTGCTGATTCCCCTCATTCTTGTCGTACTTCTCATGTCTCTGTCAGGGCCAGGAAGATGATCACGATTTGTTGTTTCAACTGTCACCTCGGACAGTCTAGTGGACACTATTTGGGATTGTGTTTGCGAGAGTGAGACGTTCAACATTTCGAATGGCCTCGGCCCATCCCGCCACCGTGCCTGGGTTGTGGGTCAGTCTTCTCAGGGATGCTTCTTGGGGTATCTTCGGAGGGCTGTCGGGAGCTTCGGGGGGCAGTGCTAAGACTTTTGGGGGGCCTCTCGAGGGCATCCTCGGGCCTCTGGGGGCCTCTTGGGACATCCTGGGGGCCTGCTGGGGGATTCTTGGGGCCGAGGGTTCGAAATGTCCGTTCGGGTCCCCCGTCAGGGCCTCCTCTTGGAGCCTGTTTGGGAGCCTCTTGAGTCGTCTTGGGCCGTCGTGGGCTGTCTCGAGAACCTCTTGGGCGATTGTGGGGCCCTCTTGGCGTCCTTTTTGGCACGTCTTGGGGCGATCTTGGAGCGTCGGGAAGCTGAACGGGCGAGAATGCCCCAATCCTTAGATCTCCTAAGGCAAGTCAAATATGTTGGCCTCTCGGGGCCCTGATGAGGGTATTGTTGGAGGCCTCTTTGAGCGTCTTGTGCGCAGTCTGGTGTTCCCTCCCCCATCCTGCCTCCTGCTTGCCTGAGCTGTGCACTGGAGCTTGCGTTTTTCCCTCGCGCCCTTCATGGGCCCGCCCTCGTGCGAGCGGGGTGAATGAATGAATGAATTTGGGCGTCTTGGGCGCTTTTTTCGGCCAACTGGAAACCATGTTGGGCCTCTTTGACACGTCGTTCGGCCATTCGGGGCCTTCTTGGACCGTCTGAAAGGCCTCTTGGGGCACTCTTGGGGCCCTCTTGAGCTCGAACGCATCATGCGACAACTCTCTGCGCACACCACGGGAACCGCGGGACCCCCCAGAAATTTCAGAGCTGGGGTGTGGGCCCCTTAAAGAATCTGCAGGATTGAGGACTGAGGCTCAGGGGTTGAGCAAGGGACCTGGGGACACTCCACTTTGTGCCACAGGGGCATGGTGGCGGATTGCGTACACTCTGTTTCTGGCGAAGGGGCCGAGTGGGGCGAACACATCGCGGAGGACACCCCCAGACCCAGCCACCTGCCCTGGCGGGCAAAGCTGGTCCACGCTAGGGCTTGTCCTCGAGATCCACTGCCGAGCGGGGCAAGACGACGCTCTCGCCGAGTTCTGCACCGCGAGGTGGGCCTGGCCAGCGTCGCCTAAGGGCACAGGCGCACTGCCAGCCACCGCTGGGACCGGGCGTGGACGAGGCACGCAAGTTCCTCCGTCACCGCCGCCCCCCCCCCCCCGCAAGAGGGGTGTTTCCCAGCGAATCACCACGGCGGCGCGCCGTCGCCGTGGTCCAGGCGTGCCTGCCCGCGCTCGCGCCGGAAGAGCAGCGCCTGGCTCTTCCGCGAGGCGGCGCCGGCGTGGGCCTGAGATGGCACCAGGCTGATGCTGCAGGGGAAAAGCCGAGCATGGAGCCGCCCATCGAACCCGCGAGTCGCGCACGGGGCCCGGCAGACGAGCCCTCCGCGCGCGAGCAGGCCGGCGGCCACAGGCGCCGCGGCGGCCGCGGCACACTCGGCCACAGAGCGGGGCGACGAAGGCGCGGCCTCGGCAGGCTCCGCCCCGGCAGCGCGCGCGCGGTGCCCCGGCGCCCCGTATATTATTCGCGCCACAGCCGGAGGGCCCGGCTCAGAGGGGCGGCCAAGTGCCGGAAGGCCAGCGTGCCGCCCCCAGCGCTGAGGCCCCACTGGAAGCACGCCGGGCCAGACGGGTATCTCTCTCTCCGAGGCACCAAGCGGCCCCGCTGACGAGAGCACGCGCAGCGCGGATTCCTCGAACCCCAAAGTCGAGGCCGACTGGGAATGGGGTGCCTCAGGACTCCCACCGGGTGACGAGCAGGCGGAGGCTACTACCAGCACTGCGCAGGGCGTCGAGTCCGGGGCCCCGTCAGGCCCCAGCCCTGCCACCCCAGGAGACATGAGGTCCCAGCAGGGCCCAGCTGAGGAGCCTCGGGCGGGCCGGGCAGATGGGATCAGTGGCAGTCCCAGGACTCTTGGAAGGGATGGCACAGCTAGGGCTGTCAGCATTCCGAGCATTTTCTCTGGGTGGAGGGCAAAAGGTAAAATCTGAGATGCCGTTTCGATGGGCTTTCGAGGCTTGCATCTGCAAAAGAAGAATTAGAAGGCGAATTGAACTTCGAGGTGCAAAAGCCCATATGGATTTCACCCTGAGCCCTCCACCCTAAGAACATGCTCAGGCATTCCTCGTGAGACGAAAGCCAAGGATGGTGGACCCAGCACGACCGTTCTAGGCAGCCCGACCGCGGGGAGCCACAGGAAGCGGCCACAGCCTTCCACTCTACATATGGGAGGCCCTCTCACTATCTCTCGTGGGATGTGCTCCCAGGCGAGACAGCGCAGCAGGCCGTCGAGAGGCTGCAAAACGAGTGCGCGCTGCAGCGTGGCGCGCAAACTGCCAAGACGCCACCCAAATCCAGCGTGCCAGGAGCGCGCCCCTCGACCCCCTGCGCCGTTCCCCGGACGCCGCGAATGCTCTCGGAGTGTTGGCCGAGACAGACCCCGACATGGACCACGTGGGCTCGGAGGCGCGGCCGCCGAGTCGACTATAGGAAGAGGCTCGCAGAGCCTCGGAGAACGGAGCCATAGTCGCAAAAAGACAGCGCCACCGCGGAGAGCTACGGCAGGGCCTCGGGCTGGAGCAGCTCAGGCACCGCCCCGGCACAGCGTGGCCATTGGAGACACAACAGGACAGGCCGCCATGACGAGGCGGAGCGCCCTCTCAGCGGTCCCAGATGCCGCGCTCTGGGCCCTTGGTTGGTGGGCCTCGGCGCCCTCGGCTGCCCCGTCACCTTCGGGTCTCTCGCCCGACCCCCGTTGAGATAATTGCCCTTTCCAAAAAATTCCTCCCAATACCCATCGGACGTTGAAAGTAGGTATTTTGGGATTCCCAGATTCCAATCTGCTTTCGGCGCCTTCCTGCTTCCATGATCGAGTGGCTCCATCTCTTCCGTCCTCCTCAGGGGGGCGCGCGGACGCCTTAACCTACTCACAACGCCTTCCTCCCTCACGTTCCCACATCCTTCTTCCGACCGATGGGTACTCTCGCGTGGAGTGGGCTTCCTCCTGTCTGTCTGCACGTCGTTTCCCCACCCTCCAGCCGCGCCGCCGTGGCGCTGCCCCTCCGCGCCCTCCGCGGCCGCCCTGCGCCGCCATGCGCCGCCCGCCGTGCTCGGCAGGGGGCCCGCCTCGTGCTGCTCGACCAGGGCGAAGGGCCCGTGCGGGCGTCGCCCACTTCGCGCCCCTTTGCCCTGGGGCGCACTGCGTACCCCCCCCCCCCTCCTCCTCCTCCTCTTTCTCCTCCTCCTCCTCCTCCTCCTCCTCCTCCTCCTCCTCCTCCGCTTCGGCCTCCGCCTCCTCTTCCTCCTCCTCCTCCTCCTCCTCCGCCTCCGCCTCCGCCTCCTCCTCCTCCTCCTCCTCCTCCTCCTCCTCGGCCCTTGGCCGCCATCCGGTTTCCCCGGTGTGTCTGGTCTGTTTTGTCGGCTGTGCTGCGAGCTCGCGGTTCCTCCCGCTGCGGAGCTGCAGCGCCGGTGCAAGAGCGGCGGCATCAACAACCTGTCCACCCGTGCAGTGCTTTTCCCTGCACGGTCCACCCCCGCGCGCGTCATCCCGACCGTCACTTTTCGTGACGAACCAACAACACACACCCATACCCATCGGGGGGTTGGAAAGGGCTATGGATGCGTGTTGTCGGATGGGGGTCCCCGCTCGAACGGGAGCGTTCCCTAGGGTCCAACAACCCGCACCCATACCCATAGCCAGTCCTCCTCCCAACGACCCCCTTATGGGTATGGGTGTGTGTTGGTCGTTCGTCATTTCGGCCTTCGCCCGGTGGGTCTGTTTGGTCAGTTTTTTGTGGAGCCCCTGGGTCCTCCACTCAGCGCCAGACCTTCTTACCCGTTCAGGTACGGCTACTTCATCATACTCACCACTCCAAGGCCTTCCTCCACATGGTCCTCGGATCTGTTTCGCCGAGTCGCTGACGCGTGCGCCATCTCTTCCAGACCGACCCTGCCCTGCCGCTCTGAGCTCGCACGTGGCCCCCTTCACCTCGGCGCCCTCTACGTCTCCAAGGCCTTCCACAGCAAGCTTGCCTTGGCCTCCGCTGCTCGCGCGCAGCTCGGATGCAGGGCCCCGCTCGGCAGCCCCGCGCCGGATTTCATGGCCTGCGTTGGCTTCTCCTTCTCCTTCTCCTACCCTCGCGTTCCTTTCATTTTCGCCTTCGTGCCTCAGTTCCTGGCCACGCGCAGAAGGGGGTGGGGGGAGGCTTCTTCACCCCCTTCTTCGCGGGCCTTCTTTGTAGATGTAAGGCCGGCGCCTTCTAAGCTGCGAAGCGCGCGCCAAAATTCGCTTCCGGTGCACCCTACCGCTTGCTGACCGGCGTCTGACTGCCTCGAACCAGTTGGCGCCCGCGGCTTGACAGGTTTCAGGCGAAGGGCGGCATACCTCGGTGTAAGTCTGTGCGGCTCCCATTTGCTGCTGGATTTGTTAGGCTGGGACCAGTTTTCAGTCTGAGTCACTTGCAGGCAGAGGCATCGAACTCCACCTCTAAGTAATGTTCCGGACTGGGCACAGTTGGGCGCGGGTATCATCCGTTGCTTATTTCGTTTTGCGAGGTTCAGATCAGGAACGTCTCCCCTGGGGACGTTCGCTCCTCCTCCTCCTCCTCCTCCTCCTCCTCCTCCTCCTCCCACCCCCCCTTCCCACCCCTCGTCCCTCCCCCCCCTACCTCGCGATCCTCCTCCTGCTCCTCCCTCCATCCCTTCTCTTCCCCCTTCCTCGCTCTCTCCGCCTCTCTCCTCCGCAA